AATCTTTCATTCATCCATTAATTGACTCATTCTATTCATTCATTGAATCATAGATTGGTTAATTAATTCATTCAATCACTCAATCATTCGCTCAATCATTTATTCGTTTGTTCTTTCGTTTTAACATTCATTTACTACTAAGCCAATAAAAAAAATTTGTCTACAGAATGATCAGAAGTGGGTTGTGGTGGGAGTCAGCACGTTTCATGATGGTAATCTCATGGTAAGATAAGTTGCTTCTTACTTTTTTTCAATGGCTTGTTTTTTATTTTAAAAAATTAACTTTTTCTTTCAATTTTGTTTTTCAGTATCCGGTAAAATTCATTTCCTCGGTGCGTGTCAGATGATGGTTGGTGCAATGGAGGTTCGTCCGTAGTGGGTGAAGAAGTTTCTGGAGGGTACGCGCGCGCACATTTACTTACACGCACACACATAAATACAACACACACATACACAACATCCATTCATTCGGTGTCGTTGTTGTTATGTTTCTCTTCAACTTTCTATTTTCTTTACCGGACTTAATTTAATTCATAGGTAAGTTAGGGATTGAGATGAGTTGAACAACTGTAAGTAGGCTAGGGCTTACCATTAGTTAAAAAGTTTCAAGTAAAATATTAACATTAACATAAATTAAAAGCTTCAAGTAAAATTAAAACGTTAAAATATGTAAAATAAATGAGTTGAGTTATCATTACAGGTAAGCTAGGGCCCTGAGAGTAATTTAATTTTAGGTAGGTGACTGACTACTATTCTTGCGACTTTTTAATATTTTTTTTTGTGGTGTGTTTGTTTTCGCTTCTTAGCACCACACAACACCAACAAAACAAACTACAATTTTTTTGTCTTCGCCTTAAATTTTACCATTTTTGAACAATCTTTTTAATAATGTCTATTTATTTATTTGTAAAATGTTGACTGGTTTCTAGTTTCTTATTTTGGTTATATAATTTTTGGATATTTCCTGATTTACTTTGTATATATGCATGCATGAATAATTTCTGTTTGGTATGTTGATTTAGTCATTATGATATGCTGTGAACTGTCCTTACTAAATATTCATGTTTCGTGATAATTATTTTTTATCGATCGATATTTTGTTATATTTGTTTAAAATCTGAACTTTTTAAAAAATTGACATTTAACAAATTTTAATTTCGTCACTTTTCATCTTTTGATGATGTCAAATAAAAGCAACTGTTGTGTTTTTCTTTTCTTACTAAAATCTCGAATACAAACACGTACACATAAAGAGACACAGACACACATACATACAAACATACATACATACATACACGCATACATACTTACTGCCATCATATATACGCAGTACAATAAACATTCATATCATTTCTGTCAATGTATTTTAAGTATGTTATACTGTTAATCTTGTTAACTATGATGACGATCATCATCATCACAACCATCATCAACGAACAACAATAACAACAATATAATAATAATTACAACAACAACAACGAAATAAAAATAGTTGTTCTCATTATGCATTTCAAAAGCTTGCATTCTTCTTTTAATACAATACAATACAATTCTTTTAATACAAGCGTTATATATATGTGTATGCGTATTGTATATTTTTATCTATTTATTGAAACGTAATTTTTTACGCATACCCCTTGTCTCATTCTCTCTCTCTCTCTCTCTCTTTCTTTATATATATATATATATATATATATATATATATATATATATACATACATATATGACTGGCTGGCTGGCAGCCAGTTTCTTATGAACACCAGCAGAATGTAAAATATTCATTGAATATAATGAAGATAGTTGTTCAAATAACAATTTTGATTTATTTAGGCCGTTTATTTCAAAAGCAAACCAATTTTTAACATGATCGAATAGTGTAAAAAAAAGGGTGACTATAATTCAATCCTACTAAGCCAACTGTCGGCTTCAGTAAGCCACCGGATTTCACCGGACCAAAAGCAATTTTTATATTCAAATTAACAAAAATAATTTAATAATACATAATTCTATTAATCATTATTAAAATTAAATAGAATTACTACAATGTTTTAAGCATATTAAATCAAGTAAATATTTCATTTAGCTTGCTCGTTAAAATCCATGCAATTTCGTAAGCCAACAATCTAAGCACGACAAATAGCCCGACCGATAGATCGAATTGATCGATTAGTCCTATGTGGTTTGGAGCAAGGGGAGACATTACTGAAAATAATTAAAAGTTGAAAAAATTGAGGTTCTTTGCATATCCCTGCTTCAACCCATAAGAAGGTGTTGTATGCTGGTAAATAGGCCTCCCCTTGACCTGGACAAGAAATTTCAGTTAGAACTATGTTAGAACCTTCTATATATGCGGTGAAAACATAATGACCCATCGTCATTCAGATATCTAACTGATTAATTGACTGATTTAAAACTAAAATGTTAGAAAGGATAACAGAATTTATGTAAGGACTAGTTACTTTTGCGATGTTACTTGACATTATAACCGCGAAAGTTGTGATATCTCTGTACTTTTTACTTTGTAGATTTAAAAGAATTAATTATATAACCTTTCGACTAATCAATCAAACGTCAAATTATCTTAGTACGCGGTCAATCAGTCAATCAATCAATCAATCATTTGATCAAACCATACATCTATCAATATGGTAAATCAATCGATATATCAATCAATCATTCAATCAATCATTCAGTATAATAATAATAATAATAATAATAATAATAATCATCATCATCATCAGTAATAGCATCATTATTTTTCCGCTATCGTCAATAATATTACTTTGCTTATACTAAAATAATATAAAAATTACAACATCAATTATTATTATTATTGTTATTATTATTGCTCATTCTCACTAGGCCTCTTGAAACGATATGATAACAAGATCCAGGTATATATATATATATATATATATATATATATATATATATATATAGTCGGAGTCAATGGATGGCGGTAAGTACCTCAATTGATAACACGTGTTTGTTTGGTCCACATTCCCTTCGCATTATTTATTATTATTTATTTTTACCATTTTACACAAATATAGATCTATAATTAACCTCATAAACTCTTTCTATCTATCCATCTTTCTTTCTCTCTCTCTCACTCTCTTTCTCTCTCTCTCTCTCTCTCTCTCTATGTAAAGAAAATGATGCTTACAGTTCGTACTTAGAAAACAAAAAACTCCATAAATACACGCTGTGGTGTATGTGGACAGAAATGAAAAAAAAATATGAAATTTGTATGAAAAAAAGTTTGTAAGAAAAAAAAAATTGTTGACTTTTTTGGCTTATCATTCAATGTTTAAAAAATGTCCCCATTAAAATTAGTATTTTTGGTGACATTGCCCTTAGTTTTATTGTTGAACATCCTGAAATAGTTTTCAGTTTAAGTTTTTATAAATTTATATAAAGATTTTGCTTATTTTAGCCTGGCAAATTTTTTCATTGTGGGATCATCAAACTTTTCCTCGCAAGGCCTCTGAATACACCCCTAGGCACACGCTGGTGCACACTCGAAGACACTCGCAAAAAATACACGCACATTCCAACACACATACAAACACGCACACACAAACATACACATACTTACACAAAGGCATAAACACAAATACCTACATACACGTACATACATACACGTACATACTTACAAGTACATACATACACGTACACACACACACACACACACCAAACACACACACACCAAACACACACAGTTGAGATGTTTTCAATGGCCAGTACTTATCTGCCGATTAAACTCTCCAATTTATAACACGTGAACAACAACAACAACAACGTGGAAACTGAGATAAAAATACAACAACGCAGTACAACAAGCATACAAAAAACTCACCCACTACACATGATGAATGTTATTATATGTAAATATAGGTTATAACTGGAAATATATACATAAAATATACAGAATAAAATAATAATAAAATGTGAATGATTAATGTTATAAAAATTAATAAATTTGTAAACTGAGAAAAATAAAAAATGTTGTTATACTATTCCAATATTTGCACTGATAGGAATGTATTATGTATACCTATAGATAGGCGTGTATGCAATACACTCACACACACACGTACACACACACACACACGTACACACACACAAGCACACACACAAACACGCACACACATAGAAAAAGAGAGAGAGAAAGAGAGAGAGAAAGAAAGACAGACAGACATACTAAGACACATCATATTTCAACGTTTGTATATTTTTACAGCGTTTCATACGCGGGATATCTAGGCGTGTTTTTACTTCAAAAAAGGTTTTCATTAGATGCTAAAAATTTTCAGTTCCTTATTTTTTGTTAGTTTTCTTTGAGAATTATAAAAAATGTTTCGACCTTTTTGTTTACTAATTGTAATTTGTTAAGAAATTTTTATTAAAATTGTTATTAATCATTAACATTTTTAATTAATATAATTAATTCAAACGATATTTTAATATAGTGGCCAAATTTAACCAAAAAATACTGATCTGATGCAACATTAATTTTTCATTTTTGTTAAGTAAAATATTTTGTTAAAGTAATTTATTTGGTTTAGATTTCAATATAAAAGTGTTTGAATAAATAAGGTATTGGAATAATAGATACTCAATAACGCACCACACACACACACACACACACACACACACACACACACACACACACACACACACACACACCACACACACACATACACACACACACCACACACACACACACATACACATACATACACACACATACACACACACACACAAATTGTTTGAATAAATTAGGTATTAGAATAATAGATACTCAGTAACACACCATACACACAATCACACACACATTTTGGTGGCGAGGAACCTTATTTTTTAATAGACGACTAATAATATCAACTCCTATTAATCATAAATTTACTCATCAAACTCGGATAAAAATTATACTAAAACTTTTACGTGTGTAACAATCCTGCTAGAAAACATTATCCAAGTCGTTGTATGCCAATAAGATGGAAATAACCGTCCCAACGGTAACAATGATAACATCAACAATGATGACATTAACGGTGATGGTATACACAAACAGAGTAGGTGCAGTTAATGAGGTAAAGCTCTGCAATAACGCCCTAGGAATGGAATCCGGGTTAGTTGCAGACGATCAGTTGACGGCCAGTTCGTCCTTTGATGATTTCATCGTCGGGCCACAAAATGCGAGGTTAAATGATTTGATGATACTACGTATATGTATTCAATTTTACATACTGTGTTAATTTGTGCATTTGTTGGAATAAATCGATCATTATATTTCGATGTTTTTTTAATTTGAATGAATTAAATTTTTTATTTTGAAAATTTTTAGATCCGAAAACCTTTGGGTGATGTGGTTTATCATTCAGGCATATCAAAATATAACAAAATCATAAATATTTTCTAAAATTTTCATAAACATGAATGAAGTTTGTAAAAAATCAATCACCAATTGTAAACAAAATGATCTGATAGTGCAATGGTTAAGATGCCTGGCACTGGTGTTGCCGTGACTGTGTTTGAATGCGAAGTGACCCCAGCCAACCACAAACAGCGTGGTTGGCTGGGGATCTAACCAGCCCCAGCCAACCACGAATGCGTTGATTCGCGCGTATTCAAATGCGCCCTGGGTTTGTGGTTGACGCTTGTAAGAATTTTAAAAAATAACTTTATCTATAGAACTGTACAATTGTTTGTATATTTCATAAATAAAAACAAACTAAACTTATCAAAAAATTTAAGATGATTTAGTATTAATAAAACCAATTAACCGTAATTTATTTGAATGAATAATTCAGAATAAGAAGCGAGAGGCAGGGTGGGGCATGGTGCCCCAAGGAACCAATCAGCCAACATTCCTATGAATGGCTGCAGGTCAGTTTGATGAACCTCGAGTTATTTTTGATGGACAACTAAATGGTCATGTTATAGATAACGATTTATTTTTTCTTGATTATGCAAGCCTGGCATACACAAAATTGCTTAAACAATTTCATACGTGCAATAAAATAAATGACTGTACAGCAAGATCCAGCGGTGGATCTAGGTAACTTTGACAGGAGGTCCAAAAGTTTGAAAATGTTTAAATTTTAATGAGGCGGCAAGATTTAAACATTACAAATAATATTCTGTAAATACAACTGAGAATCACTTTACATTATTTTTTGACATGCGGTTCTGACAGACGCAGAACTGCTTCATTCCTATACACTGAAATTAAATTAAATATTACGAATCTGGTGAAATAAATCAAAAAATAAAACACCAGGTGGACCTCAGGTTGGTGCACGTGATCACATCCATCGAACTTCAAGGAAGATTCGCTGCTGGCCAGGTTAGGGAAAAGAATCATTTTTTTTCACAATATTACCAACTATTTGCTTTGCCACTCGAAAGTTTAAAAATTTTTTTTATTAAACAACACTTAATAAACTACAGTTAAAAACAGTCAAACGACACAAACACACACATACACACAAACAAACACACAAACATACACACACACACACACACACACACACACACAAACACACTCACCTGACAGGGCAAAGAATACGCAGAATGGATAAACATACAATTCAGACGACACAACAATTCAAACTGGATTGCTTACCCTCACGTACGTTAAAATACTTTTTGACTGAAGCTCTGCAACAAAAAATAAACTCAAATCTAATCAATCAACCCAATCAACCTTAATCGACTAATCACAACCGACTAATCACATTCGACTAACCACGGCTGACCAATTACAATCAACCAATCACAATCGACAAACCACAACTGACTAATCACATTCGACCAATCACAATCTACTAACCACAACTGACCAATCACAATCGACTAACCACAACTGACCAATCACAATCGACTAACCACAACTGACCAATCACAATCGGTCAACCCCAGCTGACAAATTACAAACGACCAACAACAATCGACAAATCACAATCTAACCAATCAGACAATAGCCGGAAACGACAACACGTACATTCCTATAAAGAGGAAGTTCTTACGTCACATGATTGCCTCTCAGATCAGAATCGTGCCAGTCAGCAAACTCTCCAGAACTGTCTGTCTGCGTTTCGAAGTCTATGGATGTATATGGCGCAATGGTAGTAGCGATTGTGTTGAACAATTTTTTTGAAATAGCAATATCACTACTACTATTAAATAAATACTACAGAGGCTGTTGCTAGTGCTGCTACTATTATTACTACTACTACCCCTACTACAACAACAACAACAACAACAACAACTACTACTACTACTACCACTACTACTACTATTACTACCACTACTACTACCACTACCACTACTACTACTACTACTACCACCACTACTACTACCACTACTACTACTACCACTACTACTACTACTACCACTACCACTACTACTACTACTACCACTACTACCACCACTACTACTACCACTACTACTACTACCACTACTACCACCACTACTACTACCACTACTACTACTACTACCACTACTACTACTACTACTACTACTACTACTACTACTACTACTACTACTACTACTACTACTACTACTACTACTACTACTAAGTAATTATGAACGTTGATGACGTTGATGAGGACGAAGATGATGAGGACGAAGAAGATAAATTTGATAATCAAATTCTGTAGATATGTAAAAAAAAACCCACATCCAGATAACAAACTGCTACATTACAACATGCCTAGAGGAAATACTTACTCTGTATCATCATCATCCTCATCTTCATCTTCAGCATCAGCATCTTCATCATCTTCACCATCAGCCCACGATTTAAACGACATAACGTACGATGGGACGATATCCAAGGAGATAATGTTAAGTGGTCTTGGGCTGCTAGTGGATGGAGATTATGGGGACTATTATAATGACGAGGGTAAAATTTTAGAAGGATACGTGGGCTGGAGTAGGAATGAGAATGGGATGAAGAATGTCTGGATCGAATTTGCGTTTGAAGAGATTAGAAGTTTTCAGGAAGTTGCTATAACTGCATTTCATGACTCGCGGAAAAATGTTGGTGGTTTTTTGTACTTTTTGTTGTTTTTGTGTTTTTTTGACAAAGAAATAATTCACTTTAGACAAAGAATAACATTGTAGAGACACATTAAAAACACATTATATATATATATATATATATAATATATATATATATGTATATATATTATATACATGAGCATTTGGTCACATACACAACGTATCAATTCGAACACCGAAGATGGTTTAGAAATACCGAAAGAAGCTTTTCTGTTTTATCATGCTTAATATAATTAAAAATTTTGATTTTGAACTCAAGAAACTGACAACGATTTACGATTTACCGTTAGAAAAATGGAAAAATTAAATAGGAAGCTAACTCCCGCAGAACATGCTGTGATTTTCATCAACAATCGCATTTATGACAGTCTTAATCCAATATATATGTGAAATGTTATCAATTTTACAAAATTTTTTTGAACCGGCACTGGACCGCGGACCACCACTTTGAGATGCACTGACCTAAACAACGCTGTTAATCAATCTACGTACCAAATAGTAAAGTAAATGAATACATTATAAATACAAACGCCCATGACATACGTCAGTCAAACATTACAAAAACCAAACATGTAAAATTTTATTTTGTTTCGGACAAAAAAACAAACAATTTCCGAGAAATGTATATGAAACAACTTAGGCCGGTACACTACACAAGTCATTCAAACGAACATAAACAACGTACCACACATGCACGCACACATACACACACACTCACACACACACAAACAAACACACACTCAACATTCTTTCCAGCGATGTTTATGTCGATGAGATGATGGCAATAAAAAAAGTGATCGCTGCAAGTTCTGCAGGCAATTAAGCCATCTTTCAGTACGATGTCTGCATGGAAGTTGTGGTTTACTGGACTCTTCATTCATCGTAAATGTCTGAAGCTGATAAAAAAGATATCATTAAAAAGTTAAAGTGCGCTGTTTCTTCAGCACAATTGGACCAAAAAGTTTTTTAATTTCATTCTGTGAATTGAGATGCAACACTTTTTAAATCACTGAAAAATGAAAATTTTCATAAAGTACATCTGCCGCAAAATACTTCTATCTGCTATTTTCTGTCTTATAAACACAGTTATAAAAAAAATAAAAAGTCCTTCAGACGATAAATTTGAACAATCTGATTTGTGTGATGTAACAATTGAATTATTTAAACAATGATTTTAATTTTTAAAAATTTTCCAAGTTAAATAAACAAAATTATTTTCCGTCAGCAGATAAAACAACCAGGAAAGATCGAGATATATTTTGCATTTTCAGATAATAACTTCTCAAGCAACACCATAAGCCATGATGTTCAAGACGACCTTCCCGACGACCACAAAAGCACAAATAAAATAATTGTTATTCAGCTAAATGACAGAATTGCCAAATATTTGAAATTGATTTTATATTTCAATTCCGATTGGATTGCTTTGAGTGAAGTGGAGTTTAAAACAAGTATGAGATTCGATATTTACATGTCTTGTTTTATTTTAACTTGCTCCGCCTGCCTTGGATCGGTTTGATAGGGGAGGGGGAAAAACTTTTGAAAGATTTATAAATGAAAAACTGAATGTAAAATTTTTGTAATTAACAAGTCTGAAATGCTAATTTGCGTTTAGATACAAATAAAACGTTAACTATTTCGTGTTTTTTATCCAGTTTAATGAAACTGCATTTTGAACAAATTTCTAAGGCACTATGTAGTAGGCCTAAGCCAGGTCAACTCAACTAGTAAAATAAATAAATAAGTGAATACTTGAAATTTTTTTATGCTGATTTCCAGACGCTACAAATCAGACAGCTGATCCAGAGTTCGACATTCAGACACCATCGTCTCAACAATCCAGCCTACCAACGACCAAACTCTTGCAACTCATCTCATCCAACCTACCACTCTTCGTCCTCATATTCTCAACTTCACTCTTCTCGTTATTCTGCATTCTCCTCATAACTACCATCATTTTATGCCGGTCGAGAAGAAAAATTAGAAAAATATCGGCCACCACACAGAATGGCAGCACACTGACATCTAAAGTGGACCGTGAAATTGAATCCATAAACGGGAGGTGCCCAAAGGAGTGGGACAACATGTCGCCCAAGTCCATTGGCTCCTGGTTCACCAGAAGTGAGGTGGGAGATAGAAGTGTCAAATGTTCGCAGGATTATAGCGACATTTTGAAGTCGCCCAGAAGTCAAATGAGGAATCAGTTAGTTTGGAGTTTATTTTTAAAGTTTATTTTTGTCTTCATGTATCACGATAGACTATTTTGGTTATTAGTATACAATTTTTTTGGTCAAGAAGAATCAGATTAATAAAAAATGAAAATTTATACAAAAATTAACAAAAATAATCTGGAGCCACAAAAACCCTCTACAACCTACAACTACAACCTCATTACTTTTTTTTATTTTAAAATTTACTTTCAAACTAACACAAAGGCTTAAAATAATTGTCTTGATAGATGTTTTTTAAACGCTTTACTTGAGAAAAAAAACTCGTTAATAAGCAAATCTTGTTGAAGTACATTTCATTTGACGCTGATGATATTGAACGCACCTGACTTAAAGGAGTATCTACGAGGAAACTGCACACAGCATCCAGGCCAGGAAGCTGCCCATGCCTCCGTCTGTTATGGAGTGGTCAGGTGATCCCTACCCTGCTTATTTCCATCATGTGTTTGAGTGGCTGTTTAATTATTTACTCTCATTATCATTTCGATGTATAAGTATTTAAGTATTTTATTACTTTGTTATACTTAATTGGTTTATATTCGTTTGCGAATAATTTGGCATTCTTATTAGATTTATCATTGACTTTTAGTTGAAACTTGGAATTATCCTTCGCAGGATTCTACAACGGCAGCCACAAGTACATCAAACCTCGCAAGAGTTCGAACCACACACCCTCCGAAACTCCATCCACGACCAGCTGCACCATGATCTCCAACCATTCCCCAAGTCCATACCCCCTCAAGAAGTTCTACCCAACCATCCTCTACCACGACAGGCTGCACAAAGTTGATTATTTTGATCCCGTCATATACAGGGATTACTTGTTAAAACGCAATTCTTTCAAGACCCTCAGTAACGACCAGAATTATTCAGCCAACATATGCTGCGAAAATGTACCTCAAAATCATTTCAATCATGTATCGAAACCGCAGTGTCACTGCAGCTTTGAACTGCACAATAATGCTAATAACCTCGCTACAAATTCGCCCAAAGAAAGAACATGGAGACATCTGCCAAGGGAGAAACTAGTTTATTTGAGGGAGATTGGCGAAGGCCCGTTTGGAAAAGTAGGTTGAATTATTTTTTTAATCTGAAAATGATTTTTTATTTGCTATTTTCATTTTTTGAAATGTTAAATAAAGCCATGTCGTTTCACCCATTACAAAGATATGCCTGTGCGAGTTGATGCCCGTGACGAAGCACGCATTCACGAGCAAACGTGAGAAAGTAATTGTCAAGTTGTTGAAAGAAGAGAACTATCCTGAAATAAAGTGACCAATGATAAATTATTTTCAAATGTTTATGAATTATATAACTCGTTCCTCACTTTTTTTTGTTTTTTAAGAATTTAAATAAAATTCATAACCGTTTACAAATGAAAAATACTTATCAAATACTCATCAATTAAAAATTTGACTGAAATAAAAATGTCTATAATAAAAAACAATTCGTTCACTAATCAAAATTTTAACGACAATCATTTTTTCAGATCATATTTCTTTGAAGAAATCAAACTGATGAACCGGCTGAAGCACAAAAACATCGCCTCTCTCGTTGGAATATGTGTCGATGAGTTCCCCTACTGCATTGCTACTGAGTATCTAACAAATGGCGATTTGAAAAGGTTCCTGCAACATTACGAAGTCATTCACCCGGATACTTGTGACCCGGAACGAAATACTATAAGGTTTGGTTCTTTATTTGATTTGGTTTATTTGATTTGGTTTATTTGATTTATTTAGTTAGCTCTATTACTACTGTATGTAAACACTTAGTAATAAATGAAATGATTCAGGTTTTTGGACATAATCTCAAAAAATTCGATTTAAAAATTAAGTGATATAAATGCCGTACAACTATCCTGTAATTATGATGCAAAAAATTTGTAAATTTAATTTAGAATTTGTAAATTTAATTTAGAATTTGTGATTTAATATTTAAAAGTGAGATTAGAGATTGAAAAATTGAAATAAATTAATGTCCTTAAACAAACCATTCACGCACACGCTACAGCTCCAACGTCCTATCCTTCTTCTCCTACCAAATAAGCTGCGGGATGGAATATCTGGAGTCCTTGAACCTGGTTCACAGGGATCTGGCCACACGAAACTGCCTGGTCGGCGAGAGAGGTCACGTCAAAATTTCCGACTTCGGAATGAGCAAGTGCCTCCATAGTTCGGATTATTACCAGATCCAAGGAATCGCCGTACTGCCGATTAGATGGATGGCCTGGGAATCTCTGTTCTTAGTGCGTTACTTTATGTGCGCCTGTTTGGAAAGTGGCTGCAAATTATATAATAATTAAAATTTTGACGTGACAATATAAAATTATTGTGTATTGTAAAATTGCTGAGAAATATTTAAAAAACGCCTTTTTATGAACTACAGGGCAAGTTCTCAACAGCAAGCGATGTTTGGTCGTTTGGAGTGACTCTGTGGGAAGTCATGACTCTGGCCAAACATCAACCATTCGACGAGTTAACAGATGAACAAGTTATTGAGAATAGCCAAAGATGTTTTTATGAGAATTTGAAACTTTCAAACAGGCAAAGCCAGGAAGCACATCTTGCCTACAATTCGTGCGGTTGCACGTGTGCCAGAGATAGGGAAGAGAATATCACCGATGAAATTCAAAAAGATTGCAATAAAAATCAGAGTGATCCCAACAAATGTACAACTGTTCTAGATTCACAAAGTTTATTTGTTTCCAAAATTCACGACGAAAATTCAGATACATCATCGCCACTTGACGCTCATAGTATGGACGATTTTCAACCATTTTTACTCGCTCAACCGCTCAATTGTCCTTCAAAATTTTACAACCTGATGCTGTCCTGCTGGTCAACTGACCCAGCATCCAGGCCTCGTTTCCTACAGCTGAAGAACACGATGAGGAGCACTTTTGATGTTGACCTCGTGACTCGTGACGTCACGTTGTTGGACGAGTTTACGTCAAGCAAGATGAGGAATGAATGTTTTTCGTTGGACAACAGGAAGAGAACGATCATTTCAAACAGTACACTGTCTAGTCCAGTTTTTGACTGAATTCAAACGAATAATTGTCCTTAAAATTTTTTTTGTCGAATATGTACGATCTGTAACGGTTATGATTCAATTTAAACTATGCAAATTACGTGAATAAACTTGTAATAAATGGAGAGATCAATCATTTTTGTGCCGGCATACTTCACAAAGGATTGAAAACTTTATTTTATTTTATCAATTTCATTAATTTTTGTACGCTGTAATAAATATCCCATCAAGCAAGTTAGAAACACCGGGTAAACTATCGACTCTACGTACTGATTTTTTGAAAGAAAATTCAAATATTAGGATGTGAAAATTTTATTTAATTCATTTTCCCTTTCAGAAATATATGTTAATAAAATAAACTACAATAGGGATAATTATTATTACAATTAAGGGTTCGAAGTTTTCAACGTGTACTTATTTTTAGCGTATTAAATTTTATTGCAAAAATTAAATAAACTAAACAGATTATTAAGCGACAAAAAAAATATCATCAAAATTTATTCGCTCATTTTGCCAGAAGTTTGGTGAATTTATAAAACCGTCGGTGAATGTTTGAAATTATAAAAGGAAGATTTTAACTCTTTTTGAGAAATTTATTAAACGTATTATATCAATTGGAACAAATCGTTTGCAAGGTTGAACATTTTTTTACCAAATCATTTGTAAGGTTGTTGATTTAAAGAAGTTTAATTTTTAAACGACAAAAAATCGAAATTTTAAATTTGTTTGCTGGTAAAATCATATTCATGTATATAAAACATACAAATGCAAGTCATTTTATAACAAGAAAATCACCGACAGACACAGACGAACACATTTTAAAATCGTAAATTAAATAAAAATGCCGATTTTTTAAATATTTCAAATCAGATGAACTACTACTGATACAGTCAGTCAATCTCCATAGGAATTTCTTCCGATCTGACATCATCTACCTCCATCAACTCGTGCTTCTCAGCCAGACAGTCATCGTTATAATCAACATCCATCATTTCATGCTGCACTCTCAAAACTTCTAAATCAAAATTATATACCCCAGATTGCGTTGACTCGCCATGCAGTTGAACACCAGACGGAGGGACGATTGGATAGTTGGGAAAATTATTAAAAAGACATTTGGAAGGATAATAATTAAAGGCGTAATACAAAGGAAAACTCTGATGTTTCATATCTGTGAGCCCAAAATAATTCATTCCAAACAATGTGAGGCTTCTATTTATAATTTTTTATCTAAAAATGCTGTTTGAGACGTCATTATGCGTGAAGTTTATATTTCAATTCCTTTTTTTTTCTGTTTTTGGCGTGAAGTTTATATTTCAATTCCTTTTTTTTTCTGTTTTTGACGATGTTGTCTTCCGCGAGTTACTGGTTGCTGTTATATAAAAATGATAGTGAACTGTTAACATGAATATCATGAATATGAGTAGTGTGGTCCTCAACTTTTTAAGGGAACCCGGAGAATAAGGAGTTGAGCATTTCCTTAAATACTACTTACAATACAGTGCAGTACATTTCATTTGACCTCATAACAAAATAGAAGGTACAAGATGGCTGCAAGTAGTCTTCATTTGACTCATCCTTCACAATAAATTACATAATATTCATGATATTAGTATGTTAACAAAAGTAGATGATCGTCCTAATATTTGTTAGTGTGTTCAGTAAAATGTCAACCAATAGATCAAATAGCGTTTGTCGGTTGCTTAATAATAATGAATCGTTCTTCGGTCACTTCATATAAATATTCTCTAGGCGAAAAGTACATAGGTCAAATTGTATAAAAAGCTGGTGCCGCTAAGAATTTACAATGGTAACATTCAGAAAAAACGTTGATGGTTAAAATTTTTGAAACAGTGTAGTAGACCAGTAAATACCCAAAATAGGTAAAATATAGAAACACATTTTGAATAAAAAAAAATGCAAAAGTTATAAATCTCACGAAATTTTCACGAAGTAATCAATAATGAACGCAGTTTATTGTGGAATTGAAAGATTTGTGGTAACCAAAAATCTATTTACAAATGTTTTTCGTCAGGTTATGCGGGCTATTTAAATGAAAAAAAATTGATTCAACTAAATTTGATTAGATTTGACTCTGGCAGCATGTCATTTCAGTTGACTACACCACCCATATCATGTTCGTTAGCAGAGCCTACTTTTTTACTATGGTTTTTTTTTTATTAAAATAATTTTGGAAAATAATAAAAAAAGAAATATAGATTTTTGTTGATGTTTCAAAGGATGAATTGTAAACAATAATATTTTGTCTACGTCATGTCATTATATAGATGTGCTATTATAATTTGTCTAGGAAACTGTTAATTGAAATTTTATTATTAGTGAATATTAATAAGAATAAATTATATTATTATCATTGTTTTCTTGGCGTTTTGAACAATACTTGAAAATTTAACGTTGATCACTTCAATAGTTTTTAGAACTTATTCCTATTTGAGTGTACTTTAAGTTTGATAATTAACTACCGTAGCAAAGATGTTATAATTATTTCGACACCCATCACTGACAATTCAAACCAGATACATGCAGTTGATTCAAAATCGTGAACGAATGAACATTTCTTAGATAATAATAACGACTGTGTATAGTTTGGATTTCGCGTTAGTAAATGTAGGTAGGAGCGTTGAATTCAATATGAAAAGCACGCAGGTGATATTATGAAGAATCTAAGGATTGACAGTCACTCCTTGCTGGCTGGCAAATAAACAGTGGAGGGTAAAAACTTGACACTGGAAATGTTTTTGATAGACTTAATTTTTTTCATATCTAACTGTAAGTGATTTAGTAATGTTGAACTTGCCTAATTTCTGTTGTATATAAATAAATATAATCCTGCTTGAGCTGTAAATTATAGTCAGTAAGATAAATTTAAAGTGATTATGACCAATTAAGGAGTAGAAATTGCAGGCGTTCAGTTGGTCATGCGTCACGTCTCATACTTTTTCAGCATTTTATTCATTTTGTGGTTAAGATGAAAAATTCAAATATCAAATATAAGCTGTGATATCTGAACTTCGAAAGTCAGACATTATGACCAAAAAAGGAGCCACAAATCTTAAAAAATTTTTCCCCCGGGTCGAAAAATAGTTCTCAATGTCGCCCTCACAACTGAAAGTTCGCCTACCCCCCTGCGCTAATACATATCTTAAGCGACTTGATTTGATGGTGCTGAACTGAGCAGGAATAATAACATTGAAGTAACTTCTTTGTTCATCAAATGATAACAATACATGCAAAGCCAATGTGATAAATTTACAAATCATGATAAAGAGATATAACGACAGTATCTAGAAATGAAAAAGTATGACTAAAGTAGTATAGCATAGAGTAACAGGATAAAAGTATATATATATATATATATATATATATATATATATATATATATATACGTACATGTGTTTTACGTGTGTGACATCAAAATATTAATATTGGCGGCAAAATGTTTATAAAAAAAAAACACCAAACGATAAAATGCACATCAACCAATCAATTATTATATTTATTTATTTACACTACAATGACAGATGGTAATAAATAAATAAACAAATAAATAAAATGATTAAATGTATTATCTCTGAAGCCTTATTTATATTAGTTATTTCCGCGATCATTCAATTGATACTATCTTATGAACGACACGGTTAATGTAATAATAAGGTTACCAAACTATAACTAAAAACTATTACTTATAAATCTCTAATTATAGATTAATTAATTACTCCAATGATTAAATAATACAGTTAAATATTAATTATAATTAATAATAAAAATGTAAATTCCTGACGGGAATATGGAGGCATGAGGCGCGTTTGTAACCAGAGAGTATGAGAAGAAAAAAAATGCTTACTTCAATTCTCATAAACGAGTCAATCACAACGAAACTCACTGACATGACTAAGTTAATCAAAAACATCAGGTATAATCACAATTGACTTCATACATTATCACCTTCCACGTCGTCATCTTCATCATCATTCATGTTATCATTATTTGAATTTGCCATCGCGAGTGCAATCGCTTGAGTGGTTATAACGTGGCAGATAGCAGAACTCATCATATCATCAAAATTATCACAATCCCATCACAATCCCTCATATCATCATCCTCATCATCATTGAAACATCATCATAACAATCACCATTGTTGTCGTCGTCTTCAAAATCGTGATGCCGGATAAAAATAGACAGTGACAGATATATTTGACTGAATATCGATCCTTCGGCCCATCTCTTCAAAGATAGTTTTTATTCTGGCAGCATTTTCATACGAATAAAAATTAAACTTACTTCAATTAAATTTGAAATAAAATCTATTTAATATAAAATAAACTAAAAGAGAAATCTAATATCAAACTGGCGATATACGATCATTGTTCAGTTCAGCCTTGAAAAAAGTTAGTGAAAAAATGAAGTATCGAATTTAAATAAGCTCATATATAGACAAGTATGCATTGTATGAAAAAATATACGTGTAAATGTGTTGAAAATTGACACACACACACACACGTACACACGAACGCCATACATACGCACATCCAGACACATACACCCTGCTACACACATGAACGTTTATACAGCAGAGCTGCTAAATAAATGTTTATTTCTCATAAGAACCTGAAAATCTGAAACGTTGAAAAGTAGATTTTTAGGCTTTTATAAAAAAATCGAGTCATAAAATATTGTATCAATGAATCAGTCAATCAATTAGCTTATAAAGCGCTATTTTCGCGATGTTCAACAGCGCTCCTCAATGAATTTTGAAAACAGATGGGTCTTGAGATCCGCTCTGAACTTCGCAAGTGATGGAGAAGTAGTCAGAGAAGTAGGTAGAGAGTTCCAGAGAAAAGGACCAGAAAAAGCAAAAGCAGATTTGGCAATATCGTTCGGTTTTAATGAACGCAGATCGACATTATTCTATAAAAATTGATTAACTGAAAATCATTAGACAATTAAATAAATGCAGACTTTAAAGTTTATTTATATTAAAAAAGCTTAGACAATTTTTCAAAATTTAAATCCAATTGACTGCGTGAAGCACTAGATATGATAAATTAATACAGAAACATTCGCATTGTTTGCGGGTGTTTGGCGTTAAGAACTTATTGAAAATCTATCGCTGGAGACATTGCAGTTGAAAACAACACAGTTACAGCAAAGGTAGGACTACTACACCATCATGCCATGCAACCAAGCATTAATTGGTAGTGCCAAACAAACTAGTAGTGCCTAACTAATTCCCTATTCCTTAATTCATTTCACAACTCCATCATGATACAATAATAATTAATGGTTAATAAACTGTATCGTGATTCAATGTTGATAAATATGACAAATATGATGTTGGTTATAAAACAACAACAACTCAAAAAGGAGTATAGAAACCAAAATAAGCGTTGAAAGTTGCAAATCTAGAAGAAATCTTACAAGGTGTCTGCGTTAGACCAGGGTTTGTAATTTAACAGCTCTGAAAAACACACACGAACGCACGCATACACACGCACGCACACGTACGTATATATATATATATATATATATATATATATATATATATATATCCATAATATAACAATGCAAAACAGCAAAACAGTCATTTGCTGTGCTTTAACAACGAATGCTAGGCAACAAATCAGGTAGGTACTATTCAATCAATCAATCAATCAATCAATCAATCAATCAATCATTCAATCAATCAATCATTCAATAAAACTGATAAAAATCTTTAAAACAACGAACGAACAACAAAACTGAAACACTGAAAAATGTTGTAGTTTCGAAAAAAAATAGTTACAAATATATAGAAAGAATGCACATAAAGTGGTTGGTTAAGGAGGTTACACGTTTGTTGCTGTTTGTGTTGTTGTTTGTGTTCATGTTGCGTTGTTGTTTGTTGTTGTTAATATTCATGTTCATGTTGCTGTTAATGAAATGTTGCTGATTGTGTGTTAACAATGTTTCTGTTGTTTTATTGTTGTTAAAATTTACGAATGCATATGATAATCAACCATGTGTATATGTATGTGTGTGTGCGAATACATGTAGGTGCGTGTGTGTATGTATGTGTGTATGTGTGTGTGGTTGCCTGCGTGTGTTGCTTTGCTGTGCATTATATCTTCTTTGATCTTCTAACGATTCAACTTCATTGCCTAAGAGAGTGAATTAGTAAGTGAATTAGTAACTGAATGAAAGAACGAATGTATAAATGAGTAAAAGAATGAGCGAATGAATAAGTGAAAGAGAGAATGAATGAGTGAATAAATGAGCAAACGAATGAGTGAATGACACCATTGACAACCATCCATCCATCCATCCATCCATCCATCCATCCATCCATCCATCCAACCAACCTTGCTGACATTAACTCCTGTGATGCCCTCGACCATGAGCGGCAACTTCTCCATGACGTCGAGGACCTCCTTGGCCATCTTCGAGGCTCCGATCTCCCCATTGCCCACCGACACCATCGTCACTTTCTTCGTCTTCGAAAGAGGGGCCGAAATCTCAGCAGCCATCTGTTTCATCATGTGATGTGTGTGCGTGCGTGTGTGTGTGTCTGTTTTGTGTGTGTGTGTGTGTGTGTGTGTGTGTGTGTGTGGAATGTATGTGAGTACGTCTCACATGCACATAAATAACATGGACAGCTTATATTCGAAGTGGCACAAAAAAGTATACCACACAAAATACAGTGGTACCTTGGGCAGCATGTTAAGAACCATATCAACAACGGCAGCGTCCTTGTACTCCTTCCAGGCCTCTGCCTTCTTCGACATCTGCTCGGCTTCTGCTTTCGCCTTGGCTTCGATGGCGAACGCTTCAGCTTCTCCTTTCAGCTGGCGATTGTTTAGTTTTGAAAATGTTAATAACAATGACGACGGTGATAATGAACGATAATAAAAAATAGAACGATTTGATCCCAGTTTCAAAAGATGGCAGTTTGATGTAGGTGATGATATAAACAAAGTTATGTAATTTGTTGACCGATCCAATCAAACCAACGATCATTCAATCAGACAACAAGCCAAACAACTCCCCAATCAATCAATCAATCAAACAAACAACCCAAACCAAACAATCAGTCAACCTTGATAGCCTGAGAGTTCGCTTGAGCTTCCAACATGACGCGATTTCTAGACAAAGAAATTCACCACAAATATCATCACATCAAATGATAGTAAATTCATCATCACATCAAATCATAATCATCTAGCTTCACAATCATCAACAAGTTAAATAACCATCCAACCAACGCATGACCATTAAATACCAACACATGACCAGCCAGCCAACCAGCCAACCAACCAACCTATGGGCTTCAGCAAGCTTCTCCATTTTGAACTTTTCAGCCTCTGCAGGCTTCTTGATGGTGGCATCCAACTCTCTCTCCCTCCTCACGATCTCCTGTTCCTGCACTTGGATCTGCTGAGCCCTCTCTATCACTGTTATCTGCATCTCTTCCTCCTTTATGGCCTGCTTTGTCTTAGCCGCCTGCAAGTGAGTGCACAAATGTGCGCGTGTGCATGCGTGCGTGTGCATATGCGTGCGTGTGTGTGTATAAGTATGTTCCCAAGGAACAGAAAGAACTGAATGAAGAATAATGAAGATCATACCTGGAGAGAATAGGCCAACTCAGCCTGCGCCTTCTTCGTGTTCACCTCCATATCAAATGAAGCCTTCTTCAGCTCGAAGTCTCTCTGTGCTTTGGCTATCTCAATGTCGTTAACATAACGCGAGGCCATGCGCTGCTCCTCAGCCATTGCTTCCTACCAACGTAAATCAGGATTCAAATTTGTATGCGCGCGTGTGCTGGTGTGTATGTGAGTGTATCAATGTGTCCAGTTGGACTTGTTCAATGAAACAACTATGTAACTGTCGGCCAGCCAATTAGCCAGCCAGCCATCTAACCAACACCCACCTTGATTCCAGCATCTCTTCTTGCTTCAGCCTCTCCAATGCGAGCATCCCTCTTGACCTGAGCAGTTCGAGACATTCCAAGTGCCTTCAAGTAACCCTGCAAGCAGCATGAATCACTCTTAGCTACAATAATAAACAACATTCGACGACATCTTCATCAACATCACTTGCATTATCTAAGCAGATTTTCATTTCTATTTCTTAATGAATGCAAATCTGTTACAAACACTTCTCAAATACAAAAATTTTTCATTTGTTTTCAATTTATTCTTTTGTTGAAATGTTGAATAATGGAGCAGTCGCAGTCCAACTCCTCAGCTTATCATTTGAATAGCGAAACGGCTGATGACAAGAGCCAGCCAGCCAGCCGGCCAGCAGATACACAAACCTCATCATCCTCTTGACACAAACCTACCTCATCATCCTTGACATCCTTCAGTGTGTAGCTGACCACGCTGATGCCCATGTTGACCAGGTCCGACGAGGCCACCTCAAACACTGCCTTCGAAAACTTCTTACGATCCTTGTAGATTTCCTGAGATGGATAAATAATAAATAAATAATAATAATAAATAAATAAACAGACGAATTGTTGTGATTACTCTAGAAAATAATTTCTAACATGTGTAACATCTACTAATAAAGCTGGATAATCAGCAATAAATTTTGAACATGAAATGCGAAATTCTGTGCTTTGAGAAAAAGAAGACTACAAAATGTAAAATTATACAAACATCTTCATCGTTACAATGGATCCGATGTTCCTCCATCATTCATTCAGTTATTCAACTCAATACAATTCCATCATCAAAGATTCAAACACGGCACACACACCAGGCACAAGCACAAACACACTCATGTACACACCTCACAGCAACACACACACACGCACGCACACACACACACAAACACACGCACGCACACACCTCAACAGTCATGTTGCCCATGATGGCCCTCTGATGGCCCTCCAGAGTTTCCTGGGCAATCCTCCTAATGTCAGATTCCTGCTTGCCGAGAAATTGTTGGCAGGCGGCCTGCAACATGTCCTGGTTCTGTCCTTGGATCTTAACCTAAATAATACAAGTTTCAACAGTAAGGATGGTTTCACTTTTTACATAGGAATTGAAATATAGTACTTCAAAAACTATTAATGTTGGATAGGGAATTTATATCACCAGCCTTAATCACCTGCACATGCTAATATGAATTAAAAAGCGTTAATCAATGCTACAAACAAAACAAAACAATAATAGTAGGAAGATAACAACACAACAACAATAGTAAGAAGTGAAGATGACAACGACGATGATTATAGTTAGGATTACGACAGTGACGATGACATTAATAATGATTCCTGTGGTAAGGATGATGGCAATGAAAGAAAAAACAATGATCAAGTTGTCAATCATTGAGTTGTGGGAGTGGACTATACACAGATGATGACAATGATATTAATGATAATGCAAAATAAATTTTATGATGATGCCAGTTATGATTCGATAATGATGATGAGTGTGATAATAGCAATAATAACAACACGATGATGATGATACTTATGATGATGACACTTATGATAATGATACTTTTGATAATAATACTTTTGATAATGATACTTATGATAATGATACTTATGATAATTATGATAATGATACTTGGATGATAACAATGATGATTACACCAATGATGATACTGATGATGATAACGACGATGATGATGATAACGACGATGATGATGATAACGATGATACTGATGAGGATGATAACGATGATGATAATGGTACCTGAGCAATGCCAGTTACAGAAATGGCAACACCAAGCTGCGTGTACACATGGTCACTTTGGATCTGGAGGGTCATTGTGTTCAGTGATAGCCTGTATGGAAAGATGGATGGATGGATGATGAATGAATGAATGGATGGATTGATTGATAGAAAAATAGGTTGATGGATAGACAAATGGATAAATAGATTGATAGATTAATGGATAAAAAATAGATTAACAACTAAACTGATTTACAGATAAAAGCCAATAAGCAAATGAACTAATGGACAGATCAAAAAATGAAAAGATGATTGAATGAACAAATGAATGAGATGATCAACAAACGACCTTTGAATTCTTTGAAGGCCTGGAATGACGAAAACTCTTCCACCAGGCACAATCAGAGGCTTTGAATGGCAGCACCCTTTAGAAAAAGTTTATTTAATATTAATTCATTTAAATATTTATTTCATGTAAATTTTAAAATGCGGTAAAACATTTATTTAATAAACAATAGGTTGAGCGATTTAGCAATTTGTAAACTAAAATTCTTAAAATTAGAAACCAGTGAATCTAAAATTGAAAATATATATTATATAAGAAATGACTTTTATTTATCAAACCTGACACAACCATAGCTTCATTGGGGCCACAAGTATGGAACATCATTGTAATAAGAACTCTACTCTTCTTTCTTTAACAATCTATCAATGAAAATGTTCATTCATTTCATATAATTATTAATTAATTAATTATAATAGTAAAATTTTGTAAAATGATGCATTATATTATTATATTGGACATTTTTAATTTGTAATGTTTTTTATCACTTTTTTTATTTTATTCATTTTATTTTATTGTATCAGAGTTAGGGATTGAATAGAAACAGACTTTAGTTTAATTTAATTTTTAACAGAATATATAATTCTATAATAATTCTATTTAAATTTAATTAATTATTAATAATTAATAGAATAGAATATTTACATTTATTCTATTCGAGATCTAATCATAATTTTGAAAAAAGCATAATTTCGTTAATCAAACTTTATTATTATAATTCATTCTCACTGAATTATAAACGGTTTTTTTGGGCCATTTGTGTTTTGTCTTTTCTTACTTGTCACATAAATAGTGCAATAATTAATTAATGAATGAATAATAATGAGACCAAATATGAAGCTAAAACACTCGATCGCAGCTGATCAAAATGCAGAAATATAAAATTTTTAAAAACTAAACATACCGATCAAATCACTAATTTTAGTGAATTTCGCGTACTTTTGATCTGTAATTATATCGAAAAAACAAACACACACACTGAGTAATTTACTTACTCTGATCAGGAATGCAAGCGATTTACTTTAAAATACCGTCAAACCGTATGTATCCGACAGTTTAATTTCGAAACGACTTCTGATTTTTAATGTATTGAAACTGTAAAATTGTATTTAATTTCACTACAAGAAGTGTAACAAAGTCCGGACAAACTTATTAAATAAAAGAATTATGACTTATGTAAGATTTTGTGTTATAATCTAAGATCAAACAGCAATAACAAATTTCCGCGTCTCTAGTCTGGTTTTTTATCAGCTTTTCTAACCTTGTTGCTTAAGCTTAAAAGACATCTATATTGATATACTAAAAAAACATTACTATGAAGTTAAAACTTCCACTTATGTGTACATCTGTACAACACTAGTTAAAAAGTATAACTTCGTTGTTTAGCCTGTACAATCGGTATAAAGGACATCACTTTTGGTATAAATTTGGATCAAACTGGATTAGTTCTAGTTTAGTTTAACATTAATCCAAATTATATTATGTATGTATGTATATATATATATATATAGATATTATGTATGTATATACACATGCATATTTATGTATATATTTGTATGTCCCAAATAACACAAGACACACCAAATCTATTTATCTTATAATATGGTCTAGTCTAAATTAAACTACATAACCGCTGTAAATAATTTCGAAATAAGACCGAACATATATTTATTGCGAAAAATCAAACAAAGGAAATAGGAAATTTTTTTTGAGATAATAAAATAACAAAAAAAGAACAAAACAATTGACACAAACGAAAATGAACTAACTAATACATAAATTAAGATGTTTTTTTGTTTAATTTTCGAGAAATGATACATAATGAGTGAGTTCTTCCAGGTATCTGTCGTCATCGTCTTCCATCTTTACTTTCGTTTCTGTTAAAAGATTAAAAAAAATTATTACTAAAAACATTCAACTATAAAAATAAAAAATATGATTGTATGTATAATAGACGAGCATCAAAATAAAACCATATTCCAATAAGCAAAATATTTATAATTTTCGTTATCATTATTCACTCATAAAAAATTGACAAGTAATAAGGATAATGATGAAAAAACTAATTAATTGACAATAAATAATGATAACATTAATAATAATAAGAAATAATATCATAATTATAATTAAATACAGCTTGTGAATAATGAAAGAACAAGAAAACTGCAGACAGACCAATCTTTCGTGGGTAGAAAACATTGTTGACGCTGTCAAATGTCCATCCTTTCTCTGTCGTGACTGGCAATGAAACAAGAAAATTATGAAAATCAGCCACAATAACAGCAATAACGAAAATGGTGTGATGATGCAAGGGCTATAACATCAATAACAATAATAGCGTTATGGTGCCTGGCATTGCATCTGCTGCAGTTTGCTTGGGTTTGAATGCAAAGATATCCACACTTGTCTCAGAGGTTACAACAAAACACATCCATCACATGTGATGGATGGATGTAAGTGGAAGTAAAGGTTGATCTTTTTGCATTTGAATGTGGTCACTACAATAGCAAAACCAGGCGTCTTAACCATTACACTGCTAATTCAACAAAGTAAAACCTTACTAACTCTCTAGCAATCTGTCTCCGGTGACACCGACTTTGTTGACAACATCCTGCAACGATATACAGAAGTAGGCCATCGAGATCAAGTCTAGACAGTGATGTCTCGTTGAGTCTGTTCATTCATGTTTATCATGAAATGAAATATTTCAATAGAAAAACAAAGAGCCACTGAATATCGTAAATAAAGCGTTGTAAAATTCAAGAAAATTTTTATGAAAATTGAAAAAATTTAATAATTTTATTTGGATCAAAAATTTATACATTTTAAATATTAAAAAAAATGTTTTCAGAATGTTTCATAATTCATACTCAAAGGTGGGTGGGTGGGTGGGTGAAATAGTTAAAAGAGCCTGGCAGGGTTTGAATGTGAGGAGATCCTTGCCTACTACATTCAATGTGTGTGTGTCCGTGTGTGTGTGTGTGCGTTTGAAATGTATATCTACATTTACTCACTTGCAATGTATGTGTGTGTGTGTGTGTGTGTGTGTGTGTGTGTGTGTGTGTGTGTGTGTTGTTGATACCTATAAGAATTACTCAAGAAAGAATTAACAAAAATAACACCAAAATGAATAATACAAAATAACAAGCTTAGATATACAAATAATGTAAGAAGCCATTTAATTACCAAAAAAACCAAACTTCCACTAATTCACTAACCGAGTAGAGACTCCATGATAGGTTTAAGGTGGACTCCCCAATCTTTCGACAGACATTCATAAACTCCCTGATAATCTTTCCTCCACAGTTTCTTACCAACTTCCCACACGTGACATAGCTCGGGGGAGGCCTGTCCAAATAAATTAACTTGAAAATAAACTAATTTTAAAAATATTTTTTAAAAAATATAAAAATTATATTAGTAATTCGAATAAAGTTGGAAACCACAAACGTTTTTAACTGCTTCAGGTATTCTTTTCCACAAAAATTTAGCTGAAGTTCTGAAAAATCACAAGATAAAAAAATGAAATCAAGACTAACTAGTGTAATTTTATAAAATTATTATATATTTAAAATTAAATGCAGTTAAAATGTCATTTAAATCTATAATTATTTACATAATTAAACATAACTAAGAAATGGTTTTATGATAAAATATTTTTTTATTATAATAAAAAAATGAAAGTAGCCATGGACGTACAGATCATTCTGTAGTAAATAGATGGACAGCATTTGACTGTAAGCAACTGGGGATGGAGGATTTTGCTGTAAAAATTATTTTATCTTATCATTTAACAAATGAATAAATATTATAAAAATATTATGATATATAAATATATATATATATATATATATATATATATATATATAATAAAGTACAATAATGAAATGAAATATAATTAAATTTTTAATTGAAATATAATTTAAATATTTAATAATTAAATAAAAGTAAAGTCGTCAAAAAAGAAAGTAACTTCTAATTCTTGCAATTCGAGTTCAATTAGGAGAGTATTGAAATTGATACCCCCACTTTCGTCATTGGAACTTAGAACAGATACCATCTCGTTGGGGATGAACAATTTTCCAATTATTTCCTTTTTTTGTAAAAAGAGTTTTTAAATTTTATTAATAATTAAAATAAAAAATAATAAAAATAAACAATATTATATATTTTTATAATAATTAATTAATATTTAATTAATTCAGTTAATAAAATCAAACATATAAAAATTATATTAATAAAAATTAAATAAAATAGCACTTCTTTTTTTTTATTTATTTTCATTATTATTATATAATATATAATTATATATGTATTTTAATATTCAAATTTAATTTAATATTTAATAATTAATTAATTAAATTATAAATTAATTTAAAATTATTAATTATTATTAAATTATTAATTAGTAATTTTATCTTATCGTACTGTATAAAAGATTAATGATATAAAAAATTAATGTTAATTATTATTATAAAATTTAAAATCAATAAATCGGTAAAATATTACTTTTGAAAAACATTCAACAACTTACTTATAATTTGAAACAAACAATTGTTTACCTACAACGCGGGCGATAATTCAAACTGTTTTGCACATAGAAAGTTAAATAAATATTAGCCTGCCTACATAAATCCAACTAAATTATTTCAACGTGGGTTTTCAAGACTGATGGAGCATCACCATAAACTTTGGAACAACATGTACAGAATGATATTACATACCATACACCACACACACACCCAATACACATACACACACTCATATATATATTTAATAAATATATATATATGTATTTGCAGTATCATATATAGAATATAACATCAAACAAGCTAAAACACAACATCGGCAAATCTCAATCTGTATTGATTGGATAGGAATAGTGAATTGGAAGCTCGCATGGTTTTGATAACTCAAACGAGTTCAAACATCCAATAACCAACCTTGGAGTTATTCTGGTTTCTTATTTATCAATGGAAAGTCGTTGAAATAAACTCTGTCCTATCGTCGATGCTTCTGTCAGCTGCACAGAATAAGATTGATCAGAGATCATCTGACCGTTAAGTCAACAAAAGTATTTGTTTGCAGTTTAATTTGTAGCCGAGTTGACTACTGCAACTCCATTGTGGACGGAATTAAAGTATCTCTATTTCAATTTTCAACATTGGTAGCAGGATGTTCAAGATTCCATTCAATTTTAGTTTACAACTTACATCGGACATGAGCCACTCTGACTTCATATGTCAGAAAAAGTAAAATTTAAAGATTCACTGATCAACAGGCCGGCGATAAGAGAGCAACTCCAACTGGTTTCCAAAGTTACGAACCGAAGCAGACTGAAATCATACAATAATGGAGGTCTCTACTTATAAGATTTAATTCTACGCGCATGGGCAGCAGAGACATTCAGTATCATCAGCCAGATTTGGAATGCTTAGAGTGTGGAACTAAAGCAATAAAACGTCAGAGGCCTACAGTTGTTGAAGAAACGTCTGAAACAGGACTTATTCAACAAGCCAGCAAGACGTCTGAAGTTCGTCATAAGAGGCACTGTACAACTCATTAAACACTAATACGAATTTATTTATTTTAAATAAGAAAAACAAAAAGTGACAGAAAAAAACATTAATATATTATTTTGTTTACCATCATTGTCGTCATCACGATCACAACCAACTTCTTCTTCTTCTTCATCATCATCATCATAGTCAAAGCACGTGGGCAACCAATATATCATCATCATCATCATCATCATCATCATCATCACCACTATTATTATCATCATCATAGCCACTATCATAATGTGATAACGCTGATACTATCATCACCATCTCACCATCATACCGTGATGATATCATTGAAATGTAATAATGATAGCACATTAAGCCATAAAACACCCGGACATGATTGCAATTGAATGAATCAACACCGTTGGCGGTCATGTTAACTTGCACCTCCCAGACCTATGGCACATACAGCAGGGCCTGCGCGTGTTCAGCGTAGGTAATTAACATAATTTATTATTAAAATTAACATAAATTATTATAATTAGGATGATAATTAGCCCCAGTTATTTGATTAACTAATCAGTTAAATAATTAATTTTATCGATAATATTTCTTGAAGAAAAAACAACAACATGGCAATTGTCTCTAATACGCAAATATATAATATTCGTAATTGTTATCATCCTTCTCATCACCATCATCATCATCATCAATATCATTATCAGCAAAACTTCTAGTAAGATAAATCATCATAATAATAGTAACCTCTGGGAGGAATAATTTAGAAGGTAAATGGACAGATCGTGATCTAGTCAAAATACAAAAAAATATGAAAATAAAATAAAATTAATAATTTATTATTCATTTACATGGAAAAATAATTAACAAACTAATTATGATGAATAGGAACGCTAATTAATATTAATTATCACTGTAAATCACCAATTTAATCAATTAAGAACACATATAATAATAACAACGGGGGAACACTGGTCTAGCGGTAATGTCTGGCACTTTTGTAGCACTGACCAGGTTCAATTACATTGCGATCCCCGCCTATAACATGCCATGTACGTGTGTGCGTGAGTGTGTGTGCGCGCGTTGTTTTACGTGTATCTACCTACAACTATTAATACATACATGCACTGTGTGTTGGCTGTTTGATGCCTCTTGAAAAATTTGAAGGGAGAATTGCAAAGAGAATATGTGATTCCATTTATATTTTTACTTTTCAACGGTATTTCAATTAATAATTAATAATTGTAATTAATTAGTGAAGAACTATTTTTAATTTTATATTTAATTAAAGAATAATGATGCAATTTCGTGAAGATAACATAACACGCTGATCAACAAATGTTAAAGAAATGTTTATTAACCAGTATGGCAAACATTTGCACAGACCACGCATATCCCTACAAATGGATGAATGATTGATTGAATGAATAAATGAGTGAGCGAATAAATGAATGAGTAAATGAATGAATGAGTGAATGAATAAATATGAATGAATATATATATATTTTTATATAAATGAATGAATGATAGAGCTCACACACACACATTTACCCAAATATATACACATACACACAAATAAATAAATACACACCCAATTTATGATGAAAATAATAACAATTATTATTATTATTCATTATTATTATTCATTATTATTAATAATAACAAAATTATATTTTATATGAAAACCTCATTACGAAATGCTTACATTTTTTGGAGCAGGTTTCACAGGCAAAGAAGTCTTCTTTTGAATTTAAATTGAGATTGCGGTCATCATCATCATCTTCATCATCTTCATCATCGTCATCATCATCTTCATCATCGTCATCATCATCATCATCATCATCATCATCATCATCATCATCATCATCATGACAAGTGCGTCTGAATATTTCTCTTCTTTTATTTTTATTATTATTGCTGGACAGCCAATGAAGACTGGGACCATAATCACTGCCAGTTCTGTATGTGAAGAATGATGAAACCATCGATCGATCTATCTATCCATCATCATAATCATCATCGTCATCATCACCATCACTATCATCATCGTCGTCGTCCTCATCATCATCAACGTCATCTTTATTATTATAATTATCATTATTTATCCTCTTCATCATCATCGTCATTGTCATCATCGTCACCATCATCATCACGGTCATCATCACTCACCATTACCATCATCATCATCGTCACCATCATCGTCACCCTCATCATCGTCATCGTCACCATAATTGTCATCCTCATTACCGTACCTATTTCTCGGAAAATCAGCATTGAAGCACTTGACGGAGGAGAACCCTGAATTGAATTCATCTGATGATGACGATGGTGATGATAGCGACGATCTGATTATCTCATTTACAATCATCATCACAATCATCATCGTCGCCCTCCTCACCATCATCATCATCATCACCATCATCGCCCTCCTCATCCTCATCATCACCATCATTCTCCTCCTCATCATCAACGTCATCATCACCGTCATCATCATCCTCATTACCAATGAAAAGTAGGTTAATCTTTCCCGCCACCAATATTACCACGGAATCATCCTGAATAAATGAATGAATGAATGAATAAATTAATGAATAAATTAATGAACGAGTGAATAACCAAATAAGTGAATAAATGAAAGAATGAATGAACGAATCAAAAACCAAATGAATGGATAAACGAACGAATGAATGGCTGATTTATGCATTGTAATTATCTGAAGACTCAATGGTACAATACACATCAGACAACCATAAATCTATCAAACGAGCGATGTGCCATTTCGAACGTATTGTCCTAACTGTCCCTAATCTAATCCAAGATACCTTCAACTTAACTGATATCAACTTAACTGATATCAACTTAACTGATATCAACTTAACTGATATCAACAATCTAGTATCTAAATATGATATCACGGATACTATTTAAAAATTAAAAAAACCTAGATACTAAATTGATACAGTGGCAGTTAATTTTTTAAGGTTCTCTGAAATTGAAAGTGAACATTCATTTGGGCAAAATTAATTAATTCAAATTTAAATCAAAAATAATGTTAACCAGTTTCAAGCTTCCAACTGCCTTCCAACAATTTTTTAAATCATCATCATCATCACCCCGGCAGACATCATCATCATCATGACCACCACAACCAACAGCATTATCATCATCAGCACTGGCAGTTTTGTCAGCATCATTATCATTTCTATTATCATCTTTAACGTCATCATCACGACTGCCACGATCTTTGTATGTGAATATTTTTCTCTCATCAGACGATGACGTCATTCTGTCGATGTGCTGTTTTGCTGTGATAATTTTGCTGTAAAGATCGTCATCATCATCATCATCATCATCATCATTATTATTATCATCGTTATCACAGTTGTTGGCTGCCCCAGACCTGTACGATTGTGTACGTGGTGATGAATGGATTCAATTGGATAAACCGGAAATCAAAGAAACGCGTACGGCTGATGATTAGACTAAATGATTGTACATAAAGCACTATACAAATGACATTACTATTATTGTTATTATTATTGCTATTATTACTATTGTCATAATTATTTTTGTTGTTGTTGATGCTGTCATTGAGCTAATGATCGGTTACACTCCTAATCGGTGTCATAATCATTAACATCGTCGTCGTCATCATCATCATCGTCATTATCATCACCGTCGTCATCGTCAGCATCATCAATACTACTATCATCACTTTTATCATTATCAAACCTCACCAACACAAAAAAACACACGAAAAAAATTTTTTTTTTCTAAAAAACTTACGGAAAGCAGTAGAATCGAAATTGGTTACGGCCAGACGAGTTGACGCCATTGCAAGCGTTCAATATTGTATCCGTCAAACCAGAAGCACTGTCAAATCATAATATAATTATAATAAAATATAATAATAATAATTATTATAATTATTATTATTGACCTCATAATTTTTCCAGAATAAGTCACGTAAGTCATTCTAACTCCGCAGTTCATCAAATAGAATTTAATCAAAATGGGAAGTTTATATGATGACGGTGTCATAAGGTTTTCGTTACCAGTAAGTTGTTCGTTCAACACTCTGTAAGAATTATTACCATAAAAATATAATAAATGATAATTATGATGATGAGGAAATGAATGAATGAAAGAATGAATAAATGAATGAAAGAATGAATGAACGAGAGAATAAATCAATAAGCGATTAAAAAAACCTATCATAATTCTTGAGGAGTTTTGATTTCAGAATTTTAATCACCCTGTCATCCTTTAACTTCCCATCAACGTTCTTATATTTTTTCTTCAACTTCTAAACAATATTATTTTAAATATTATTATTATTTTTATTATTAATTATTATGATTCAATTAATTCAACTTCTAAACAGGAATCAAGGAGTGAACGATTGAATCAAGGAGTGAACGATTGAATCAAGGAGTGAACAAATGAATGAAGGAGTGAACGAATGAATCAAGGAGTGAACGAATGAATCAAGGAGTGAACGAATGAATGAAGGAGTGAACGAATGAATCAAGGGGTGAATGAATGAATTAAAAAGTGAACGAATGAATCAAGGAGTGAACGAATGAATGAAGGAGTGAACGAATGAATCAAGGGGTGAACGAATGAATTAAGAAGTGAACGAATGAATTAAAAAGTGAATGAATGAATAATAATTAATAATGATAACAAATTTACATAAAGTCATTCCCTAACAT